GAATCAACTCCACGGTAACAGGTTTGGTTTTGGTTTTGGTCTGAGATGACTGTTATACATCTAAGGGGGTGTAGGTAGGCAATTGGATATCTGGGTCTGAGTTTCAGGAGAGAGACCTGGACTGGATATATAAATTTGGGATTTGTGAGTATATAGATGGAATTTCAACCATGGACCATAAGAGAAGCCCAAGGAAGTGAGGGCAGATTTAAAAGAGAGAGAGAGTAGTCTAGGACTGAGTGTTGGGTCAGTCTTAATAGTTAGTAGTATGGGGAATGAGGAAGGACAGTAAAAGAGGCAGAAAAGGAGCAGCCAATGAGGTAGGCAGAAAATCAAGAAAGAGTGATATCCTAGAGGCCAAGTAAAGAATGTGTTCCATGAAGGAGTGACCATCCATTTCAAATGCTATTGGTTAGGGCAAGTAAGATAAGGACTGAGAATTGACCATTGTATTTGGCAACCTAGATACCAATGATATTATATGCATATATAATAAACTAGTGTTCTATAAGTAGTACTATTGAGAAAATAAAAACATCCTTATTCTTACAAAGAAAACTATTTTTGTTAGTTTTTTTGTCAGTATACTGCAATATCATTGTGTTATGTTCTCATGTTATTTTCAATCTTATATTTTTCCATAGTGCTGTTGATGTTTCAGAGCATTTTACTCAGAACCAAAGTAAACCAGAAGAAATCACACTTAGAGAAGAGTATGGCAATGATCTACTTTTCCAAGCTGGCAGCTTTGGTAAGAATATTTGAGAAATTCAAATTATAAGACATAATCAATTATATTTGCATTTTTGTATTAAAGTGATGCCAGTAGAAATAGCTATCTCTGTGCCAATAGAAATATCTTTAGAATGAATCTTTTGATGTCTAAATGTAATCCTCAACGTTACCTTTTTCTAGTCTAGATGGCGCTACTTCCTTTCTCTGTGTACAGCCATTTACATACATATTATACATCAGATGCTATCATATACATGGAGTCCCTGGGTGGTTAACGGGCTTGATTGCTAACCAAAAGGTTGGAAGTTCAAGCCCACCCAGAGGTGCCTCAGAAGAAAGGCCTGGCAGTCTACTTACAAAAAAATCAGCCATTGAAAACCCTATGGAGCACAGTTCTATTCTGACACACATGGGATCGCCATGAGTTGCATTTGAGGCAACTGGTTTTTTATCATAGTCATCAGTGCTAACTAAGTTTAAAGAAGCAGTTCCTTTCCTCAAGGAGCTTTCAGGCTGGGAGAGAGACAGTTGTTAGAGTTAACATATATACAAGGTTTCATATGTATGCTCCATAAAATGCCTTCTGAATATATTTTCTCCAGTGTGTGATGATATAAATTGTAAAAGAGTAGATTTAAAAACAGGAGGAGAAAATTCTATCACAGTAAATGTTCACATTGTGAAACAGGCACTGATTTAAAAAATGTTAAAATCTGTGTGGGCACAGTGAGTGTATTTCAGAATTGAAGCAATATGGTGTAATTAAACTATATATTATTCATTTTTATGGCATTTTTCACTCTCTGTCTTGTATTATGGTATTTATATAACTCTTGTATTGGTCTGCAAATTCCATGAGGCTAAAATCTATGTTGTATTCATCTTTGAATTTCTTACAGTGCTCAGCTCAGTGAGCACAGGAAAAAGATGGTCGAAAAAGATGGAGGCTGGGGTGGGGCAAAGAAGTATGCTTGAGCTACATCTTTAACCTTGACTTCTTATCCTCACTCTCCTTCCATATCTCTTATTACCTGTAGTGATATTTCTCAAATGATATGTGGTGAAGAACCAGTTCTGTTATTTTTTTTTTTCATTTCCAATCTCTCATGGACTAATACTTTTATAAAATACAATAAAAATGAATTTCTAGAAAAATAAAAAATTTATAAAACAAAATATAACCCTCAATATTTATTATTAGATTCAACATATGTAAAACTACTCCATCAAATTAATATAGAAGTTTCTACACATTTACTTCTAATTTCTGTAGTTCCTCACATAACCTATCTAAACTTATTCAAAAGGAAGTATGAAACCTCAACAGACCCATAACAAGCAAATAGATTGAAACAGTAATTAAAAAAAAAAAGAAAAATACCAAAAAACAAAATTCCAGGACCAGACCGCTTCGCTAGGGAATTCTATCTAACATTTAGAGAAGAACTGACACCAATCCTTTTCAAACTCTTCCAAAAATTAGAAGAAGAAGGAATATTCCCTAACTCTTTCTATGAAGCCAGCATTGCCCTGGTACCAAAACCAAAGACACCACAAGAAAAGAAAACTACAGACCAATATCCCTTATGAATATAGATGGCAAAATTTTCAACAAAATACTAGCAAACAAAATCCAACAGTATAAGAACCACATGATCATCTCAATCAGTGCATAAAAGGCATTCAAAAAAGTCCAGCACATTTTCTTGATAATTTCTGTAGTTCCCTTTGTCATGGACCAGTCCATAGGCCATACTTTGAGTATCACAAATCTCCTACTGCCTGTAATTCTAAACCTTGTAATGTAACACATTGGCAAAGAGATAATCATATTCCCTACTGCCCAAGGCACCCTTTACAAATTTTCCTGTAAATGCTACTACACTTCTCCAGGCTTGAAACTTAAGGATCACTTGCAGCTACACTTTTTGTCAGCTTTACACCAGTGCTGATTTAAAAAAAAAAAAAAATCTGAAATATTTCTTAGGTCTCTGCTCTATTTTCCTAGTCACCAATATAGTTCATCAGTACTTCAAGCTTGGAGTACTATAATACCCTCATACACATCTTCCTCCAGTATTTTCCTGTATTTTATACATCTCTGCAAGAGCAATTGTCCTCAATTTCCATTTTTTATGTATATCATATTCCTCTGCTTAAGTGCCTGAGTCCCTATGACTTGTTGTATCAAACACCTTGCCTATCCTCAAGGTTCTCTACCATCTTATCACTTTCTTTATTATATCAACTTCATGTGTTTTAGTTTCAATACATTTAATACATAAGACTTTGTGCTCTAGTTAAGGAAATGCTCTTACCAGCCAACCAATACAATTTAGTTGCTGTCTGTATTGTGTCTTCTTCTACAATCTGAAAAGGTGGGAAGAACCTGTTCTTAGATCAACAGTTCAGTTTGAATTTGAACTTTGTCCATTGATTTTCTGTGTAATATTGAGCAAATTACCTAACCTCTCTGAGCCTTAATGCCCTATATGTAAAATTGAGATACTGCTAGCAACATTACAGGGTTAGTTCTCTTATCCTCTCCTTCAGTCCTCTCCATTAATATGTGTTTTTTTTCTCTCCTTCAAAAACTAGCTCAAACCTAATGTCCTCTAAGAAATTTTTAATATTAACCCATCATATTATGGATTATAATATAAAGTTGAAGTAATTATTTCTTCTGTATAATCTCAGGTCCTCACGATGCTCAGTGCTCAGAATATTGTGTCTGTTCATAAATTTTATTATCTGATAGACCAGAGCTGATTTTTCTTTTGAGAGTTATCAAGTTGTACCTGAATGATGTGAACACATTCTTAGTACTTTTTGAAAAAATCACTTCATCTTTTCGAATGAGCAAGTCTTTGGTCCAATATAATGAAGGTTGCCTTTTTAAACTCTTCCTCTCTAGAAGATGTAGGTTTGTAGAAGAATTTTCAATATGAGTGACACCTCATAATTTTCTTTACTGCCTGACACTAACATGGGTTGTTAGAAGGAGAGAAGAGAAGAGCAAGCTGTGACTTCTAGGGTTTTAGACTCCTGAAACTAGAGATTCAAACCCAAGGGAGGGAAAGAACATGCAGGAGCTGACAACCAATCTAGAAGATTAGTTTGAAGCAGGGAGTTCATTTATCTGCTGCTATCAGGCTCTTAGGAATTCATTCTCATAAGTCTCTGTTTCATAAAATGTTTCACCTGTCCAAAAACACTGTCTCTTCTTCCTAAACCCTTCATTCCCTAAACTGTCAGTATAGTATAGTAAAGCGTAGAATAGAGGCTTTGGAGTCAGATAGAACTGGGTTTGGATCCTGGCTCTGCCATTTATTAGGAGTATGACTGTGTATAAGTTACGTAACCTTTCTGTGGATGTGTTTTCCCATATGTACAATGAGAATTATAATAGTCTCTTCTTTTATGTAATACAATGCACATAGTAAGCATACAGCTAATGTTAACTGAGTTTCTCTTTTTTACTGCTGTATCTCCAGCCCCTAGTATATTGACTAATACAGTTACTTGATAAATATTTACTGAATGAATGCTGTAAGCCCACTCTTTAGTCTTTTACCCAGCTTTCTATTTCCTAAGAAGCAGATAGGTTTCTTGTTTTTCAAACCCCCATTATGAATAAACAACACAAGAGACATGAAATAACGCCTGGTCATTCAGAACTTGAACTACATAAAGTAGAAGTAATCATTCCACCTGCCATAATATTTCTATCTTCTGGGAAATCATTTAACTACGTCATAACTACAAAACTCTACCTCTGATACTTCAGCAATGTTTTTTCTATTGTATTAGAAAGAGCATTAGACTAGAAATCTAGTCTCTACTGATTAACTGAATGACTTTGGTTGAATAATTCAAATAAGTTTCCCAGCTCTCATTTTCATCATATCTCAAATGAGGGGGATTATACTAGATGGTATCTTGATTTCCTTCTAACCCTAAAATTCTGTGTTTCCTATGCTAACTCAGTATTAACAATATGTATTTGTTTAGGGGAGGAATCTGAAGTTCTCAGAAGACATAGCTTCTTTGACGACAATGTATTACTGAATTCCAGTGGTCTTTTAGTTGAACATAGTTCTGGAAGCCTCAATGGAGAAAAATCTCTGTTCTATGACAGTGGAGATGGATTTGGAGATGAAGGGGCTGCAGGAGAAATGATTGGTATGCTGTGTAGCCATATAGAAATTGTATATTTATTTCAATCAAATTGGTACAATTTATTGGAGTCCCTGGGTGGTACAAATGGTTAATATGCTCAGCTGCTAACTGAAAGGTTGGAGGTTCAAGCCCACCCAGAAGCACATCAGAAGAAAGTCCTGGTAATCTACTTCTGAAAAATCAGCCACTGAAAACCCTATGGAGCACAGTTCTATTCTGACACACATGGGGTCACCAAGAGATAGAAGCAGCTCTACAGCAACTGGTATATATAGTAACTTTATTAGTAGATTTATTAGATCAAACTAAAATTTCAGACATGTGACTGTCTTAGGTAGGTCAACACATGTTTATACAAGTTCTCAAAGCCTATGGTATATTTAAACATTTAGGTAGGCCTAAGTAAATAGTCATCTGTTTAAACACATTCTCCATATAGATGGTGAAATACTGCATGCTTTTATTTTATATTTACAAATCCGTACTTTTCAGAGGGGATGGAATGGGGTTAGTATATTCCTCACAAAATATACTAGACTGTTAACTGGAAAACATTATTTTTCTTTAACATAAATTGTGGGACAGCTATTCTAAAGGATCTGTCCAACATTTGGGATATTATTTAAAATAATCATAGAATTAAGGTGATAAAAACTAGGAAATTCACACATATTTTAAATATATTGGACTGTTCTTATCAAATCTTTTTTTAATCTCTAATTCACATTAAAAGCTAGCTATGACAATTTTTTTTGAAACTTGAAAATTAAAAGAAACAAAAGTGAAACAGTGGCTATATCTTAGTTCTCTGCCAAGGGAATTTGAAACTGTATGTACTAAAAAACGTAATTAAAACACATTTACGTCTTAATTTGAAATCTAAACATGGCTTTGTACAAAGCTACTGTCTGTCTATCGGTTTAGTAAATATTTCCTGAAATTAAACATTTGGAAATGGATTTTTTAATAAAGGAAAGGAAACTAAATATACAAAATTCTGTGTTATCCTGCATGAAATGTGGTTGTCTACATAATCAATCAGTCTAATTAAGTTGGGTTCATTCATTTTGTATCCTTCACAATGCCTTGTGCATAGCAATGTCAATAAATGTTAGTGAACAAATGACAGATTCAACTCTGCTTGACAAAATTACTGTGTTTTTCAAGACAATTTATTGCAAGAGGATCGAAATATCCTGTTAGAAGACATGCCTTCAGACAAAGAAATTTTCCTGCCTCCTGAGCCTCCCGATAATACAGTGGGTATGTTGAAATTTTCCTTTGTATACGAAGTGATCAGATATTGATATTCAGATTAAGCCTCAGAACTTCTAAGCTTAAGCAATACTATGATATAGTAAAAGATAATGAACATTATTCCTCAAATTCTCTTAGTCCAACTCTAGACAATAGAAAGCTGTGTTCTGAGAAAGCTATGGTGAAAGGTATTCAACTAGGACTGCCTTTATTTGTATTAGAGCACATTTAATTACTCTGCCAAAATACTGTGCTTCTGAATCATTAAAATAATATATATTATATGGTAAAAAAAATTATTAAATAGTATGGTTTGACAGTCTATGTACAATTTGGGTGAAATTACAAATGTGGGGGTGTTTTCTGTACATGAAATTCATGGGAAAGTACCTCAGGTGATTTGAGGTCCTTTAGTCTGATTTTTCTTAAGCATTAAAAGCCTGATTTTGATTCTTCACTCTTTTCAACGTTACATTTGCTTTCTAGCACATGGTAGAAATTGGAAATGTGAAAAGATTAGGCAATAAGAATTCAGTTGTGGCTCTTTATGGGTCAACTAATAATTAAATGACAGAATATAATTGTTATAGCAGATATGTAGTCAAATTTATATCAGTGATTTATTTTGGTTACTACTACTATTTTCACTTCCTCTGTGATTGTAGCTCAGTCTCATGTGTAAGAGGAGGTAATGATACTTGATTCATCTGAACACTGTAGATCTCAGACCATATAATATCTGAGCCTCCTCAACTCTACTAAAGATATGATACTAAGAATTTATTTAGATGTGACTCTAGTTAGAAATACGTATATTAAATTAGCTTATCTTTTACTTTAATTCTCTGTTTTACAATATAATCTTGATTTTTTTATAATTATTTTTATATGTTGATTGAAGAACTGGATAATTCAGAGTGTATATGTCTACCTGATAATGAAAAAATGTATAAAACCACATTATTACCAAATGAAGAAGAAGGATTTACCCTTGACCCAATTCATGTCTCAGGTCAGACTCATTCATTTATTTTTACTTTTGACATACTACTATTTTGTCTACTATGAAATTTAAATCATCTATGAAATATTATAGGAGGTGGTCTATCTAGTAATAACATTTGTAATACAGTATGAGAAGAGCGTGAAGGAAATTTGAGATGATCCTTTCATTGTATTCTGTCCTGGTCGAACCATATATCCGGTTTGGGAAACTGGAAATTTTAAAACTGAGTTCAATTCATGTAGTTATTGAGCCATTACTCTGTGTTGGGCACTAAGTTGGGAACAGAAATGAATGGGACAAGGTTCCTACTTTCAAGAAGCTTACAGTCTAATCAGGAAGATAAATAAGTATGGAGCCCTGGTAGCTCAGTGATTAAGAGCTCGACTGCTAACCAGCTATAATGTAAGGCAGAATAACAGCATCAGAAGAGAGGCACTATGCCCTCTGGAGGTTTGGATAAAGGAGAGATTACATCTTCATGGAAGATTAGAGAAGGTTTTGAAAGATAGTGGCATTACATTTGAGTTTTGTAAAGGTAGATAGTATTTCAAAAGCCAAATTTGAGGAAAGGTCATTCTCGGATTAAAAAAAAAAAAAAAAATACTCTGAGCAAAGATAGAAAGTTATAAAAATAAAGGATATGTACAAACCAGTAGTTGAGCTTAGCTGGAAAATGAAAAGTAGTAGTTGCCAAGTCTCTTAATTAGGTTGGGACCAGAGCTTGAAGGAACCTAAATTTGGAGCGTAAGGATTTTTTAAAAATTTAATTTAATGTAAGTAGAAAGTCATTACATTTTTAAAATAAAGGAATGCTTTAGAAAAACAAAGTTGGTCATAGAATATAAGGGTGAATAAGAAGACCATTTCTCAAGAGTTAGTATAATGTCAGGCCCTAAAATCACACTTCCTGGGTTTTAATCTTTGCCGCTTACTAGCTTTGGCACCTTGTGAAAGTTACTTAATCTCTCCAAAACGCAGTTTCCTAACTCATAGGATATTGTGATGATGAAATGATACACAGTACCTGGCACATAGTGCTAAATATTAGCTATTATTGTGATTTTTATTGAATTATGAGAATTGTTGAGATGTGAGAGTAGAAAGAAAAAAGGCTGCATATGGAGCACAGAACAGGAAGAAGTATCAAAGAATGGGTGACTGGAGACATAGGGAAGGAACTGAAGCCATGGGAGGAAAAATGTTTAGAAGATCGAAAAGATGATTAGTATTGTTAGATGCCGTGAAAAATCCAAAAGATTGAGATAATTAGAGGGTCACTGATGTCTAACCAGGTTGTTTCAGCAGAATGATGGAGTTAGAATTCGTATTTAAGTGGAAAAGAGTGACTGGGTGGAGGGCAAGTGAAGGCAGCCTGTATAGATTATTCTATATTGATAAAAATTTGGGAAGTATAATTTGTAAGAAGTTCGTCTAAGATCTAAGGAATTAAAATTGTCATCTGAATCAGACAACTGAGGAAAAGGAAAGGAGGGGAAGAAAATAGTCTAATCACCAAGCACTGGAGGAGATGCCCTACCCTACTTCTCTGATTCTAAGATGCATGTTTTTTCACATTTTTTCTGAAGCTCAGATATACCATTTTCTTATCAATGAATTTGTTTAATATAGTATTCTGCCCCTCTCAACAATAGTTGTTATTAAGTTGGTGGGTATCTTACATTCATTTATTCAACATGTATTTATTGAGGGCCAATTTTGTGCCAGGTTCTGTGCTGGTCTCTGGAGTCTTACAATTGGGGAAACAGAGGAACACCTCTTGAAAATTAATAAAAAGTCATATAAAGTCTCTTCTCTCTAACATTTAGCCTCAAACATGCTTTTAGGAATAAACAATAAGTATGAATTTAATCTATAACTAGGTCCTTTAGGAACACCCTCATTTTAAGTAGTGTAATTGATATGAATTTAATGTGATATACTCAGGCATGCAAGGAATAAAACATTTACATTTTGTCTTTACTGAATTCAACCTGAGCCTCTGTCCCATTGGCCTGCAGAATATTCAGTCTGCATAGCTCCCCCATCTTCCCTAGGCCATGTAATACCAAAGTTCAAAGGAGGGGTGTTAGAGGTAGAAGGAAACCTCGGTCATCAGCAGCACCATTTTGTGGTACCCACTGTCCCAGCCTGCATGTGAGATCATCACACAGCCAGCCCCTCTGGGATCTTGTCATGCTCCCCAGATTTTACTGAGGCACATCAGCAAATGGATTCCTGTTCCTTCTGGTTGCATTTGATTTCACATCTCCACTCACTCTGGAAAATCTAACCCTCCCTCCCCTTTTTCAGCTTTACTAAAGAAAAGCTTGACTTCAGGCAGCTTCTGCTTTCTGCCTGGTAAAATACCCTGAAGTAGCTAAATCCCATGGGCCTAGCTACCTACTTGGGATTTGTATATAAATTTCAGTTGAGGAGGGAAAAATACACTGGACAAATACAAGTTAGTGTTTCAAAAAGTTATCCTGTTATATAGGCAGTTTACATTTTTAGAGATCCTTTAAATTGGATGACTTCCCTCTCAGTATAGTCTGTGCTCCACATTTCCTCAGTTGCCTGTTTATTAAGTCAGCAGAGTCCTTCCTAAGCACTTTTGAGCAACACCTTACAAAATGCATCAGCTGCTGGCTGCTCGGGCAAAATCCTTGTAAAGTGTAATTTTCAGAAGAGAGGAGAAGGCAGATTTTCTTCCCAATATAACTCTGTAGGGTGTATTGTGGTAGACATGTATAAGATAAACAGTGCCTAGAATATCATTTTAAAAAACTGTACAACCAGTTACATTTGTGCCTTCTTCTTATGCTTAGACATTGCTGAAAAAAGGAAAGGCAAAAGGAGGAAATTGCTTATAGACCCAGTCAAGGAGATCAGTAGTAAAACTATGCATAAACAGCTTACTTCTTTTACCGACACACTCATGGTTTTGGAACTTGCACCTCCTACCCAAAGACTGATGATGTGGAAGAAGAGAGGAGGAGTAGATACACTTTTGTCAACTGCTACTCAGGATTTGATTCATGCTAAACTAAAAAGGGTAATAGTTTCCATCCTTTTACATGGATCTGATGTTTAGTTATAAATAAATAAATACATGTTTACATATATACAACAGAATTTAAACTTGTGAAAAAATACCCCCTTACTTCTTTTGAATTAATTTTCTGGATGTATGTATGTGAATTATAGTTTTTATTTTGCATTATATGTGGTTGTATTTTATTGAATTGCTTCACTTGCACAAAAACAAGAAACAAAAATGTATATTTTTACAGTTGTTTACAAAATGCTTTCTGTCCTCTGGCTTTAAACTTGGAAGAAAATTGATACAGAAGGAGGCAGTAAGGGAAGAAGTGGGAGGCCAAAACATAGTAGGTGAGACTTCCTGATTCTGTCAATGTTGAGGAGAATGTTGTGGAAACAAAAATTTCATTTTACATTTCAAAATAAAGATGGAGTCCAGTTCCATATTCCTAATAATAAACACTACCTCTAGGAGAGTATTTAAACTTAACATAGTTACATCAGCATTGCATTTTTCTGTTTTTTGGGTATTTTTTGTCCCAGAGGCTTCATCAAAAAGATAAGTGTATATATAGTATGTGGACCATTCTTAATTTCACTCTTCCCCACCTTTCCCATCCCCAAAGGCAGTACTCACAAACCCTCAACAAAGAAAATCTTTGTGTTCAGCAAGATAATGTTTCATTTAAAACAACTAACATGAAAATCATCCAGTGATAAGAATAGCATTTAAGCAATATGACTAACCCAAGATACAGATGTTTTCATCTACCCAGAAGACACATGGAGTGTTAATAACTGCTGGTTATTATTGTGAAATTATAAAGTAATAATAAAATCAACTTATGTAGTGAGTGAATCTCTACTGCCTGGTCACCCTTCCTGAAGGCATTAAAATCTACTGAGCAATACACTGAGATGGGCTTCAGAGCTATCTGCACTGTCTTGTGATGAATGTGTGGGAGTAAGTGTGGAGGAGATGGAGGATGGGGAGTGGATGTGATAAAGAGTCAGAGGAGGGGAAACGGAAGATAAATAGGTGAGACCTGGGGAGCCATACAGATAGTTTATGTACCCTTTGCCTAAATTCTTAGATTCTAAGTTGTCTTTCAAAAGTTTCCTTTGTAACCACCATATCCCAATTCAAGTTTGAAAGGCATTTGGTGAAAACTTTTCTACTTCCTTGATAATTCAGAGACCTCCGTGATGGAAGAGCCGAATTCCCAGCAAGAGTTAAGTCAAACAAAAACTTGGAAGGATGTGATTGATGGATCTAAGTGTAGCTCTCAAGAAGATACCAATAAAAATACTAACTCTGAGGTAAGTTAACCAGAGAGAATCATAAAAATATTGTTTTTCTGACCCAGATATGGTGACTTTTTTTCCTTAGGACTGTTAAAGGAATGTTGAGACTCTGATATTAAAAAAAAAAGAAACCGTTGTCATCGAGTTGATTCCGACTCATAGCAACCCTGTAGGACAGAGTAGAACTGCCCTGTAGTTTCCAAGGAGCAGCTGGTGGATTTGAACTGCTTACCTTTTGATTAGAAACCAAATGCTTAACCACTGCACCACCAGGGCTCTGGGACTCTAGTATATCTTCTTACATTTACAGTTTATATTTCTTCTTGCATTGTTCTACCATTTTCTTTAGTCAGTAGAAGTACTGCAGGGTAAAACATGATTTTCGCTTCCAGAACAGTATTCCCTAGAAGTTTAGGATAGGAAATCACAGGAAAAGGTAGTTTCATACTGAAATAGTATTTTGTTACCGTGAATTATGATATAATGCTTTTGTGTATTAGTCATTAAAAGAATGACTGTCCGTACTTGAATCTGGCTATATGCTGAGAATCCTTCTAGGCTCCACATTTAACATCTCATGAAATCTTTTAGGACTCTAGCCAATAAACCTGTTTTATTTCTCTTCATCAATCCACCCTCCCCACCTCTGAGAGTATTATGTTTTAGACCCACAAATTACCTTGCCCTTGAATCTGAAGGACTATCTACAGACCCATAACCAAAAAATATTCAAAACATCTTTTAAGGTGGTTGGGAACAATGTGCTTTAAAACATTTTTCCAGTTGTCTATTGGTTGTACAGATGTAAGTATTATAGCCACACTAGATAAAAATAAACCAGTGCTTTTCTGTTCTGCTCCATCTTCATTGTATTTTGATAACCACTCAGGGAATTCAAAGTCAATCCACATTGAAACTGAATGCCCTTGGAAGAAAAGATAATTTTATAATGTGTTAAAACAAAATGTGTTTTGCTAAATATTTGATTGTATATTGAATACTGAGATACCGGGTTGTCAGTACTACTCTCTTCCTTGTTTGGGCTTGGGCATTTCTTAGAGAGCATCTGCTGAAAATTATGACCAGGCAAACTTGTTTAGTTTATGATACTTTGCAAGGAAAATATAACTCTAGTTATCATACATATATTGACAAAATAGATTTTCCCAAGTGCTTAAAGTACAAAGAAAGAAAGAGATTGATGCACCAGTTCTTGTGAACTCTTTACTCCTTTATCCTAATTTGAGGAGGTGGAAAACATTTCTGAATATATCTTGTGCTTATTCTGCTTCCACAAATAGTGAACAGATGTGAAATATAGTCAGGCATGGGAGCAGAGTCAATTTGAAGGGACGGAAAGATACTGATTCTGATTAATCATTCTCAAATCTTCATAAAACAGAATTTTTATATAAAGTAATTACAAAATTGAGAGTGTCTAAAATGTAGAATATTCATAGAAATTAAAAGGGAAAAGACATGATAAAGCTCCATAAATATGTATATTAAAGAATAAAGTGCAACTCCTTATACTCACTAAAATTTTCAAAAGCTGAAGTGAAAGCCCAAACTATACTGTAGGAAGCTCCAACTTAATCAAAATCTGGGATGACAGCTGGGGAGGGAAGCTTGGAGACAGGTGGAAGATAAAAAAAGGAGCCAATAGCTTATAGCAATGAAAAGGGGATGAGATGATGGGGAATGGAGAATTTCTGCTTTCTCTTTTTTTCTTCCTTTATTTTTCCCTCCCGTTCCAGAGTACTGGCACCATATTTTCTTATACAGCTCCAGCAGTAGCGACAGGAATCCTGCCATGGCCCTGGGTAGGAATCTTAATATCCCTTTCCTCACTCCTTCAGCTTGCCCTTTGCAAATTTTTTTCCCCTATATAAACCCTATGGGGCAGTTCTACTCTGTCCTACAGGATCACTATGAGTTGGAATTGACTCAGCAGCAGTGGGTTTTACCTGGTGCTGGAGTGAGAATAGAGGTCAGTGACTGAGGCTAAGTAAAATACTTCAAAGGAAAGTGGTCTCAGCAACCATAGAGACTTCTGATACAAGGTCTGCAGTGGTGAGGGGAATGAGAGGGAAAAGGACAGGAAGCGAGGAGGGAAGGGGTGTGTTAGTTCTCCATTTGTGGGTCGTCGTTGTTGTTGTTGTTAGATGTCATAGAGTTGGTTTGACTCCTAATGATCCTATGTACAACGGAGCGAAACACTGCCCCGTCCTGTGCCATCCCCACAATCGTTGCTATGCTTGAGCCCATTGTTGCAGCCACTGTGTCAACCCATCTCGTCAAGGGTTTTCCTCTTTTTCACTGACCCTCTACTTTACCAAGCATGATGTCCTTCTTCAGGGATTGGTCCCTCCTGATAACATATCTAAAGTATGTGAGATGAAGTCTCGCCATCCTTGCTTCTAAGGAGCATTCCGGCTGTACTTCTTCCAAGACAGATTTGTTCATTCTCCTGGCAGTCCATGGTATATTCAATATTCTTCACCAGCACCATAATTCAAAGGCATCATTCTTCCTTGGTCTTCCTTATTCACTGTCCAGTTTTCCTATGCATATGAGGCTATTGAAAATACTATGGCTTGGGTCAGGCACACCTTAGACCTCAAAGTGACATCTTTGCTTTTTAACACTTTGAAGAGAGGTCTTTTGCAGCAGATTTGCCCAGTGCAGTGCATCATTTGATTTCTTGACTGCTGCTTCCATGGGCATTGATTGTGGATTCAAGTAAAATGAAATCCTTAACAACTTCAATATTTGTGGGTGGCATATAGAAAATAGGAATATTTATGGCATGGACTGCCTATACTGGAATATTTCAGAAATAATATTTTGAGAATGTGGGTAGTATTTTAGTTTTAGAAATGAGCGTTCATGGTGTTATTAAAACATTTTAAGAAAATGATTGTTCATGAGATGACTACTAGCAGAATTACCTATCTTTCCCTAATTTTCTTTAGCAGGATATTGTTGAAATGGTTTCTTCTGCTGCTGAGGAATCCTCTTTAAAGAATGCCTTCTTGACGCAAGAAATTGAAAATTGTCCGGTTGAAATGGTAAATATATGTATAAACCAAAAATAAAAACCTGTTGCCATCAAGTCGATTCTGACTTGTAGCAACCCTATAGTCTTGGGAAAATTCTTAAAAACCTTGTTCCTAAATATATAATGCCTTATTTATCTAAAAATTGGTCTTAGGACTGTCATGTTAGTTTCTAAATTTATAGTTTAAATTAGTTATCACAACAGATGTGTGTGAGTAGTTTGATAAAACATATTCAGAATTGCTTTGACATTTTTGTCTTTATTTTGAAACTTCAAATAATTTTCAAGAAAGGTGAAAGATTTTTATGTTTATCAAAAGGAGTGGTGCATTTTAAAATGTTGAGAACTGCTATTTTAAGTTATTCCTATAACATCTCTAGAGAAACAGAACTTTATTAGGGGTATGTTCTAAAATATTTGAAATTTTATTCTATTTACAAAAATAGTGTGGACATTTTTTCCAAAGCATTATATGTTTCAAGGCCTGTATCTATACAAGACATCTAAACCAAAAAAAAAAAAAAA